CTGACTACAAAGAAGGACTGGCCATTCTAGTTGTTCTGATGGTCACTCGGATACTTCCTGATATAGCAGAAAATATGAATTAAAACTAAGAAAAAAACACAAGAAAACAAAACTAACAAACACTCCCCCCATCTCCTCCACCCCCAGTTATTAATGAAGTGCCAGTATGCAGGAAATCGTCATGATTTTGAGCTCTTTCTTGGATCCTTTTGAGGCCAGAAATATATGGGCTAGTGAAGCCCTTTACTCCTGAGCAGGGGAGCGATGGTTTTTGACTACGACGAGTTTTCAGGAGGTGTCTGGCAGAGAAGACAACTCTGGTGGGGCAACTTAATGAGAAAGAGGTTCAGAAAGTAATTTATTGCAAGTCTGCTGTATTGAGAAATGAATTCAAGGGAAAAATACCCATGGAGTATGGTTTGTGAAGTAGTATGCAACAGGCAAGAGCTTGTGTGAAGATGTCCAGTGGAGGAGGTGCCACACAAGAAAGCCAGTCTGTTTTCCTGTTTGGTGATGCATCTTAAGGAGTCCCTAATCTAATTATTGTTAGTTCTAGTTGTTCATTCTTGCTTGTCTTGCAGCACCATTTGACAGTAAGAAGGAAGGATGGATGGACTGAAAAAGAGAATCTGTTTCATAGGATTTCTTTTTTTTTTTTTTTTTTAAAGTTAGTACTCAAACCACAAAAACAGTCACAGAACCACAACCTTAAGGGCAGGTGCAGAATGCTTAGTAAAAGTTTGCACTGACTTTGGTTTGCACTTGTTGAGTCATGTCTACTTGGATTTCATTTGGTTAGTACCTACCACTATGGAATCCTGAACCATGGTAAGCCCTTCAGGTATTTTCCATGGGTTGGTTGGTTGGTTTTTAGAAAACAAGTTCAAAATTGTGTTCTCTGCTTGCCAAACCTACAAGAAAAGTTATTTTTGCTGGTGAGTTGCAGATCAGTGAAGAATATTGCCAGTAAACTAGAGAGCAATTGGATTTTGCCTTAAATAAAGGGAACTTTAATCCATTTGTTTCTTCCTCTGTAGAATATGAAGGTCCTGTAGACTGGACTGTCCCTTCACTTACATCTGTGTGTTTCCAAAATACTATTTTATTTATGTGTAAATAACATCCTTCGTAGTTTACAGGGAGAATTTGATGCACTGGTAGAAATTGTATTTCTCTACAGAGGTGAAGATTAGACAGGGCGCTGTTCACTTGCAGCATTAATGTGTGAGAATTAAGAACAATTCAGCATGTGCATCTCTGAACTAAGAGTAAAGTTTCAGTTAAAAATAATACTCATTTGTGTTAAACTAGAATGGCCTCTTTAAGGAATGTAGCTGTAGTACAGCTGCCCAGGTACAGCCTGCACAGGTTAAATTATGTCTAGCTTGGGCCAGGCTAAATGACAGCTAAAAATCAGTGCTTCTCTGGTGTAGTTTGAACTGTTTTCTGTGTAACTAAGATTTCCTTTAAAAGAAAGCTCAGGGGGGCCAGAAATAGTTTTCTATGTTTAGTTTTCTAGTTTACCATGCCATCTGTTTGTGTTTTCCATTGCTGGTACCACTGTGTTTTGGGGCAGTAAGGAGACTGGTGTAGAGTCTGGTGTGTGTGTCCCAATGCCCTCTCATCTCCCGTTTTTCAAATAAAATGTCAAGCACTGGGGGGATGAGGAGCATGTATGCATTGCTCTCCTGATAGTTTGAATGTTAGCTTTCTGTAGGGTGAAAGTCACAAGAGCCTGCTTCCTGTTTATGAATTGGAAACAGAGCTAGCCCCTCTTGAGATGCTTTACAGAATTGAAGCATATTTCAGCATAAGAACTAGATGCTACCTGACATTTAACACCATACTGCAGCTCAGCTGCTTTTAGACATATCTGAGTCGTTCCTCATGCTATGAAAATACACCATGCTGTTTTGTGTACTGAGAGTTCTGAAGTTCTCAATACACAGTGGTATTTTGAAATTCAAAGATTTCTTGAAACTCAGGGGTTTGACATTGTGATAAGCTGATACTAAAGGATAAGGCTCTTCGAAATAATAATTAAAAAAAATGTGGAAAAGAAGAAATCCAGTTATTTTACCCATGTTGTGTTTTTGGTGTGTTCATTTTTTTCTCTCTCATTCAGCAGCACCTCCTGGGTCTGCAGCAGCAGGTAGCCTAAGAGGCTACCTCTAAAGCTGTACTTAAATCAATTGCTGATGCTAGGGCACAAACAAAGATGGACTGTTCAGTAAGACAAGACTCCATTGAAGTTACTGCTAATAAGCAACCCAGCTATGTTCACTTCAGTCCCATTCAAAACACAGGAAAAGGATCAATCTTTGCCAGACTTGAAAGGCTGGAATTATTACAGAGGATAAAAACGATTTACTTCAAGTGGGTGTAAAACATATTTTCAAAATAAATACTGAAACCACACTTGCCTCTTACAACATATTAATCACAATCTGTGTTGACATGAAATATAGAAAGTGTTCAGCTTTGTATTCCTTCATTTTATAAATGCAGGTTTATTCTAACTAGCATTTAACGTAAGCAGTGCTTCTTAAGCACCAGCTTAAGATGCCAGATACAATGTGCCTTCTCACTGTGAAGTGTTACTCCATTGTAGCTTAGTTTTCTTAGCAAAAGGGCTTGCCTCATAGTATTTCCTTAATGCTTAAAAGCCCCCAAACCCCTGAAATAGTCATAGCTGGGATTAATATGACTTTTTGGTTTTGAACTGTTGTACGTACACTTCTTTAAAAAGAAGCAGTAGTGAAATAGTTTTTGATGCTTCTGTAGCAAATTGTTTTCTTGGTTTACTATGTTTAAGTGCTGTAGTGCTGGATTCATCATCTATTGCTTTATAAGCACAGCTCTCTAAGTACTGGGTGAGCCTTCTGACAAGAGTCACTCTAGTGGTGTCATATGCTTGAGTTCAGTGTTCATGTGCTGCTACAAGTGAAATAGTGTCCTACAGGTATAAAATGTGGATGCTCCCCAGCATAGTTATGTAGCTTGTGGAGTTTTGTTTGTTGTTGTTTGTGGGTTATTTGCTTGTTTGTTTTTGTTTTTTTTGTTTGCTTTGTGGTGGAATTTGGGAGGGGTGTTTTGTTGTTTTTTTTGGGGGGTGATGGGGGTTACACCATAGTACCTTTGCCTGATACTCCTGTACTTACACTGGTCCATGTAAAAGCCAAACTGTTTGAGCCTGGCCTTGTTTGCACATGGTAGAGCTCTGCTCACGTTTTAGAGCTGGAAATTAAATTTGGGAAAGTTCCCTCCTAAAAATGGGTGTATTGCTGAGGGAGCTGCCTCTCCTCTGTACTGCAGGCATATCTGCCTCCATCTTCACCTGCCTGCATCCTGAGCTGGGGCTGCTCATTGCACAGCAGCAGTGATTGCTTGTTGAGATGTTTGCCACTGTGTTCTGGTCTGGGGTGGGCTGCCACCATCCTCACCCTGCTTTTCTCCCTTTGTTCTGCTTATCTTCATTACTGAGAGGACAAAGCTAATGCCATAGGATTTTTTTTATTATTATTATTTTTTTAAGTCAGATAAACCTTGGGTTTTATACCATTTTATGACTCTAATCCTCTGACTCCTGACTAGATTATCATTCAGTTAGACCCCATATGGCTCCATTGCTGAGGTAGCAATGACAGGGTTGTGTTGGTTTAGTTTGTTTTTCTCCTGCTTTCTTACCTTAAATATAGTATTAGTGGGATCTCTGTGTTTTCTGATACCATTGTGCAGCAGCAAGACCTGCATCCAAACCTGAGGTGTTCCTGTCACATTTAGCGTGTTGTTTGGCAGATTCCCGTAATGGAGTATGTTAAGAGAATAAGCAGTCCACGGAGATCAAACTTGCCAACCTTGAAACAGTAATTCCTAGAAAGAGATGCTGATTGCACTATGGAATGCCTTTTTCTCTGCACAAAGATGCTCTGTAAGGAAGAAGTTGGGCTGGTGGTCAGCTGCACTTGTACAGTCAGCTTCATTCAAGATTACTTGAGGCAGACAGGAAAATGCTCAAGCTGGGTCCTTGCAGACTCTCAAAATCCAGCAGAGTTTGTTAGCTTGGGCTCAGTGCCAAGCAAATGCAACTCTGCAGCTCCCAGACCAAGTAGGATCTGCTGTTTTGGCATGGAGTCCCAGCTGTTAAAGCCTGCCAAGCGTGAAGGGTGCAGACCTGGGTCCAGCACTGTGCTCAGATAAGGGAACTTTCAAAAGGTGTTGTGGGTATCTGACTATATGGATCAGCTTGGGACCATCAGGGCTCATTAGATCAACAACAGTCTTGGCCCTGTTAACCTTAAGCTTGCGTCTGTGCCTAGTCTTTTTTAAGGTTGGGGTTGTTTCTTGTTTGGGGGGATTGTTTTTTAACTCTAACTCCGAGTTCTGGGGAAATCTATTAGCTTGGTCAGCTCCAGGCTCAGCTACCACTTTATGTGCATGCAGCATAGCATGTAAGGAGCTTCTTGGAAACAGACTGCAGAGACACTGAAGTTGCTGAGCAGGAGCCATCTCAGGCCTAGCATTGAGTCAGAGCTGCTAGTTTGATGATCTTAAATTGACTTTAATTTCTCTGAGCTGTGATTCCCAGCACCTTTTGCAGTGAAACAGTATACAAATGTTTCCACTGCCTGTTTCCTCACAGCCTGTGTGAGCCATAGTAGTGGAGTACTGACCGTTACATCCAGAGCATGGAGCACTAGGTGGCTGTTGCTAGTTGAGACTTGTGTATTGGTTTTACTATGGTACATACACTGAGACCATACATTTAATAACTGCAGTTGTCATAAGGTAAATATCTTTTCAGTTTGGATTTGAAAATACTTGTTTGGAAAAACTGCAGTGTGCTTGGACTAAGTCAAAATAATTTTAAGATTATATGCTTGATAGTCTGTGGATTGTTACAGTACTTAAAATTAAATTTCCTCACAGAATTCACAAATACTTGCTTCACTCTGCCAAGCAAAAGATCTTTCAGCTTTTCTGGGTTTTTTCATATGCAGGTGCAGCTGGGACAAGCGGATATAAAATGCCCAATCACAGAATGCAGCGAGCACCTGGATGAAACAACTGTCCTCTATAACCTGCCCCATGACGACATCATCAAGTATAAGTATTTCCTGGAACTCAGCCGCATTGACTCCAGCACCAAGCCATGCCCTCAGTGCAAGCACTTTACAACCTTCCGGAGGAGAGGCCACATTCCTACCCCTGCCAAATTGGAGAACAAATACAAAGTGAGCACACTTGCCAAGCTTTGTGTTAGATGGCACCACAGAAGCAGGGCAGCATTTTGTGGGCATTAAAAGAGCTTTCTTACATCACTGGGGCTACATGTAAGCTGTGATTAGGAATATGAATCCACAGTACATCATTGATTAACTACTTAATAGATTTCTAACAGTTCAAGCAGTGGAAATTCAGCCCTTATTTCTTGGGCAGGTGGTGTCATTTTATCTTGACATGCATGTCAAATTAAAGATTATTCTCTCTCTCACATCCAGACAGTATGGTCACCATCAGAAGAGGCTGGGGAAGGGAAGTTATCACTGTATCTGATAATTTTAGACACACAGCTCTAGCAAAGATAAGTATTCCCTGAATCTCTGGGCAGATAATTCTGAGCATTTATGGTGTTGGTTTGCTCCTTCCCTAGTAACAGAGCTGTTGTCTGTCCTGCTTCTTGGTTTTGTTTTCTTCAGTCCCTTACCAGTGGTTATACATTACTGTAGTCTCATCAGTTACCTATTTCTCAAGTTTTCTGTATTGTTAAAAAAAAAAAACAACCCTACCCCCCCCCCCCAAACTTTTATAACATTTCTTTTAGTAGATTTTCTTCTACTGTGATTTCAGTCAAAGATGAAAAGCAATAGATTACAGTTAGAAGAAGCTTTAGGCTGCTCAAGGTCCATCTCTGTTCCACAAGGCCACAGTTCTGTCTGCAGCATTGTGCTCTCTGTTATATTTTTCCATCTGGTTACTAGATTTGTTGTGTTTAATTTCACAATTGAGCTGTCCTTTCCTGGACAAACCAGTTTTCCCCAGTAGGAGTTCAAGATAACTGTTTAGATAGCCCTAATTACACAGCATAAGATTCAGCCCAGTATGGAGATTAAATGCAGAAGGTTGTGCATCCAGTGGAATTGAAACCTTGGTATAGCTAACTTTGAGTCATGACCTACTGATGTGTATCTGCAGTGCATGAATTGCATGCTGTGCTGTCTGCTGGACTCAACATTTTCACCTTTTTGGCATCTTACATGGAGGTGAAGAAATGCCCACAGCCATTCTTCTTCACCCATCCACTTAGCATTCCCTCAGATGCAGACAAGGTGTAGAGTCCACAGTAGATCAGAGATGGTAATTTTCCTGCAGCAGCCTTTCTTAACGTGCCAGAAGCTGTTACTGTCCCACCAGTGTGGGTCATATGTGGTCTGGTGCAGCCTATCATGGGCATGCCAACTTTAAGAACATTCCTCAAAGTGCAAAATGGGGTGTTCTGCCCACCAGTGCTCGTTTGTGTGTTGAAATGCTGTAGCTAAAATGTTTCCACTGCCTCCCTGCAAATCATAATCAGAAGGAATGGGAGGCTGTGTGATCCATGAAATAGTGCAAGCTAGAAGCAGTTCCCTGGTCCTGTGGTGATGCATTATGTGTAGCTCTGATCTGCAGAACTCGGATCTCCTGGGAAAAGGCTCTGGCAAAATGTGTCCTTTGAACTGTGTGCAGGTGTTGCCTGGAAGAATGTCTAGTTGGTGCTGGTCATAAATATAATTAGGAAAATGCTGACAAGCAGTATTGGATCATCACAGTCCAGTGCTTCAGCCTACTCCCTAATCCTGTATTGTTTTCTGGCATAGATACAGTTTTAGTGACTTATTTTAAGCTTTGGCCTCCAGTCAGGAGACTTGGAGACACACCATACATAATGCCGTTGACTCCTTTGAGAACTCACCCAGAACTAGTCTCAAGGAGAAAAGAAAACGTAGAAAGAATCGCGCCCCACCTATTCCACCCAAGGAGACCTTTTGCTGTGCTTTTTGCAACTGGATTTGCCCATCTCACGTTGGCCTTTTTAGTCATCAGAGTGCTTGTAGTAAGCGTGGGTAAAGCCCTTCCCAAATCTTCGTTCGCAAAGTCAAGCCATGATGATGAGCACAAGGAAGAGTTTTACTGCAGGGATAAGGTTTAAAAAGAGGGCTATATATGAGATTGTGCATATGTGAATAATTACATACATAGGGACCTTTATTATCTCTGTTTTCTTAGGTTCTCATGTGACTGATTGTATGTGTCTTGTCTGTACCTTGAACTACAGGCTCTTTGGACATAAAGACTCTTCTGCATATAGCGTAGGAGACATTTGACTTGAGAGTACGAGACTCAAATATTCACATCCAAGCAATATAAACAGCAATTGCGCCAGATAAATTCTGCACCAGCACTGGAAGTGCTGCCTTCAGAAGAACTGAGTCATGCGGGGGGAAAGTTTATGCATAAGCCTACCATTAGGATCACTGTGCACGAGGGCTCAGTGCCAGCATGCTTGCTCTCCTATATACTGAAACAAGAAAATACGTAAAATCCAAGTGTACATTTGGACAGATACTTTAGAAATGTTTTTAAGGCATTCCTAAAATTTGATACACTATATGAATTATAAATAACATCTAAATTTAAAAAGGTAGCAAAGTTTAGATAGATTAATTTTCCTTACCTATAGCTGGTTTATGTCAGCTGTACAGATCTAAGCCCAGTAGTTCAGATAGCTGCTGCTGTTTTTCATTTTAGAGATCAAGTGCTGGTGTGCTAAGCCTAGAGAGAGGAGGAGGGTGGGAGAAAAGGAAAACTTGCTATCCAAACCTTCTTTCTTCCGTTAGTGCCACTTAGGACAGCACAGTACAGCAGTGTGACTGTTTAGTTTCCTATATCAAATATTTGTATCAAAAATGGATCCAGCTTTAAGTAAGGAAGTATTCCTGCCCCCTCTCATATGACCTCAATTGGGAGTGTAAGACTTGATTGTAGATAAAATAATAAACCATTGGTCAAAGCTGGTATGCCAAAGTTGCAAAGGAAATGGGTAAACATTGAAAAATTGGTAGTTCTGTTTCTATGCATGGAACAGGTACGTGTTTCACAAGAGCAAGTATGTTGTCTGCTTTTTTTTTGTGGGGGTTGGTGTGGGACTTCTGGGTTTTTCCTCTAAGCTATGGATTTCATCTCTTGTTTCAGTGTTAGGTCTTTGACTTGTTACCTGCCATGAAGAAGCAATTCTTGATTCTTGAACTCTTATTCCTGCCTCATCAACCTGTGAGCTTCGTAATGAAGCTTTTGTCCACTTCTGTCAAGAGATACACATGACATAAGAAGGGCTTGAGTGCTTGGCTCTGGAAACCTCAATGTTTTTTTTTTCAGTGCAGTTGTGACATAAACTCTCTTCTGTTTGAACTACTCAAGAGTTTCTGAAGCTTGTTGCAGGTACATATTCCTACTAGTTCTAGGGCAAATATGCTGTGATAGAGGATCTGTGAAGTTTGTATCAATTCCTGCTTTATAGATCAGATGTTAACCTTGAGGAGCAGATATCTGCCTTGAGCCTGAACTGCTGTGGACGTGGGGATTTGCCGTGCTCTCCTCCTTTGTCCTCAGCTGTTCATTCCTGCTAGCTTGCTTTTGCTCATGTTGATGTTTTGGTGTCACACTGGGAGCTGGATCAAAGATCAGCTCCAATGGGATACAAGATTTGTTTGTTTTGTTGCTGCTTATATTCAGCTGGTACAAGATGGGGGACGGGTTGGTGACGAGGAGGCAGCTGTTTTGGCAGGAGCTCATATTTATTTTGGAATGAAGTGGCTGTGTAGTTACAGTTAGTGATTGTAATTCATTGTAAACAGGTAGTTGCATGATTAATTTGATCATCCTTTTATATAACTAGCATTCCACTAAGCAGCAGAAAATCTCACACGGAGTTTTTTGCAGTTTCAGGCTCTCAGAATATTTTTAATGTACAGTCAGTTTTGCTGTCATCGTATGACATAGAGCAGTGTTTGATGTTGAAGTTACCTACCAGTTTTGAAAGGTACTTTCCTGGAGGTGAGGAAAATGATAGAACTGTTTGCAGTAAAGCAGCTAGCTAAGAAAATGGCAATTGTTAGCCCCAGTTGTCAGTTTTTCAGAAATCTGAGAGCCAAAAGGTTAGTACGAGAAGTTTTATAACCTTTTCTATTTCAAGGGCAACTGACCCTCAGGAGGCATAGAATTTTGTGTATGCATCCACCCTCTCAATTCTGATTAACTGAAATAGAAGTTGTAAAATAAATAGAAAAATGTTTGTGTGAGAAAAAACACATCTGGAAACCCACTAAATTAATGCTCTGGGTTTTTTCAGATATAGTTTGTTGGCTTTGCTGGACAAAAATATATTTTACCATTTTAAATTATATATATATAGCATTTCTGTGTCCTTTTGATGGTTTCATCCACTAATAGTGAAGCATAAAACAAATCTTATTTTACTATTTTCTTTCAGAAAAGTAGAGAAAGAATGGAGTAAGAATCTGAAAGTATGCTGTAATTGTTCTGTTGTGTCACACCGCATCCAAGTTTGAATAGGATTAGGGGTTTGTTTTGCAGTCCCTAGTTCCAAGAAAAATAAGGTTCAGAAGTACTTAAAAGAATATAGCTTTTTATGCCTGCTTAATGTATGTTCAGACAGTTTTGAACAACAGTCAAGTGGCCCATTCAAAATGTAGAAGCTATGTACCAGGTCAGTTTTGAGGACAGTGCTGTTGAGAGTGGCAGGTGGAAGAAGAAATTAGGAACTCCAAACCTGGTAGCAAAGTAGGCAGTTCCCACTAGTTTATTTGAGCTAGTCAGGGCTATTCATGGTAATAAATATTATTCTGAGTTCATGTGGTTACAGCCTCATCCTGTATTTCAGTACTTTATAACTAATGTATATGGAAACATCTGATGTCAATGCGTGTGTATAAAATTAAATATATATCCTGGTAGCTGTTATATTTCTTAACAATATATACATGCTGTAATAGATAGATTTGCAATGAATTTGTGTCAAATTTTCAACCAAAAACCCCAGCCAAACAAACTCCCACAAAACTTATGTTTTAAATTATGCTGGCATTTTTTTTTTTTTTTAAATAAAAAGCTTTAACTTGCAGCATCCCAGATCTGTTGGTTTGGGTTTGTTTTTTGTTGTTTTTTTTGTTTGGTTTTGTTTGGTTTTGTTTTTTTTTTTTTAACATTTGTGTTCTATCTCAAATATCTGAATATTGCAACTGATAAAAGCTTTCAGGTTACAGAACACTTAATTGTGGTGGCAAGCTCCATCTTTGGCTGCGGCATAACAAATACCCAGGTGAAGTTAATGACAGCCACTGAGTCAACTAGCATCATATAAATGCTCAGCTTGATCCATTTTGTCAATTAGGTTTTTAGTATGAAACATTAAAGGCAAAAAACTAAATGCTAACCCTGGTGTCTGGAACTTGAGGAATAGTATTAAGGGCAGCAGACGTCTTCATTTCTCCGTCATGCATCAGAGATGGGATCAGCTTTGTATTAGCACACGGGTAGATGGATGTAGCAATTGCACATATAAATAGTAATTTTGGCTGCCCCTCAACAAAAAGTAAGATCCTAATTTATGGGAGATCGGAACGCCTGCTTTGGACTCTCCCTGGAGCTGAGGCAGCATGCCACCAGTCAGGGTGTCTGAGCAGAGGGAGCAGCAACTGGAAGGAGTAAGGACTGCTGAATATGTTTTGAGGGCTTCACATGTATCTCCACCCTAGGATGTAGTTTCTTGAGCAGCACCCCCACACCATGCATGGCCAGCACAGACACATCAGTGGTTCAGTGTCAAACTAGGTCTGGATACAGATACAACCAAAAAGCTTTATTTTTTGGCTGGCTGAATTCCTTAGTCCCATGCATCAGGTGGTACAAAGCCAGGGCAGTGCTAGGCATGGACTGCAACTGGAGCTGGTGAGCAGGGCTTAGCATTTGTATGAGATGTGCCCTCCCATCTTTCAGGCGGAGACATTTTGGTGCCAAACACAGTAGGAGTTAAGATGTTGCAGGAGCCTAGATGTGCCTGTGTCTAACGTGGCTTGGGGTTCTTGGTTATCTTAGTCATGGTCTGGTTAGGAGGTCTGTCTTAAGTCAGATAAGCACCTGCAGTGTGCTTCTTACTATATATTTCTATAAACACAAAAGCTGCTATAGTTTTTCAAAAAAACTGCTGGGCTCTGGAGGAGGACATGAAGACAGTGGTGCCGGTTTGGTGCAATGATTTAAAACCCAGGGAGTGAGAAGAATGGATCCTTTCTTAATTTAGGAGCTTGGCTTGTGATTTTTGCTGTTAGGTGTGGTCTATAGCAAACAGGCTGTTTGGCACAGCCTCAGCTTGCCCTTGCGCAATCAGGACCATTTCTGATAAAAGCTTCATAACCCATCCTGGGCTGTGTGGAGACCCTTCATAAGACTGGGTACTCCCTGGTAATAGCCTTGGCAATGAAGTTTTTAACTAGAAGACTGAGATCCACTGTGCTGAAAACTGGCTGCTAATTTTCACATGATCTAAAACATGTATCAGAGGCAACTCAGTAAGCTTGCTGGATTTTGCCTTTTGGCATCTGAGCTGGCCGGTGAATTCGGGAAGTTTAAACAAAGCTACTTATGCCTTGTCTGTTTGGGGCATTTCCTGGCTTTAGCAATTAGTTCTGTATTTTCTCCCTTTTAAAAATATAACAACAAATCAACTTCCACAACATCTTGTTTTTTAAAACAGACCCTTCAAAAGACATTAGACCTTTGCTGGGCAGCTGTTCTCTTAACTGAAGACCAGTGTTTTTAGAACGGGCTTCCCAGTTGGGTCAGCACCCAGCTTGCAAACGTGTGGTGTTTTCTCATTTGTACAGATCCAGTGTCCGTCTTGCCAATTTGTCTGGTGTTTCAAGTGCCACTCTCCCTGGCATGAAGGCGTTAACTGCAAAGAATACAAGAAGGGAGACAAGCTGTTGCGTCACTGGGCCAACGAAATTGAACACGGGCAGAGGAATGCCCAGAAATGTCCAAAATGCAAGGTGAGCTGTTCTCCCTTGGCTTGCAGGTAGTGACTTCAGACTGTTTAAATATGTATATAAAGTATATATTTGTAACTTCTGCTCAGCATGGGAAATGGAATTCACACTTGAAGTGCGAATTCCTGTCAATTGAGAAAAACAGGTCATATATTTAACTTACTGGTTCCTGCACTGATTCTGCAGAATCTCTGGATATAAAAGAAACATTATGGAAATCATAAGAGGGGGCTTTGATGTATGCTTATAATGAATGTATGTTACAGAATAAATTATTCCTAAAGTAAAGCTTCAAAGAAATGGAAAGCTTTGGAGACATATGATGCCCTTTGTCATGTTTTCCAAAGATGCTGGGTGAATTCAGTTTCCGAGTAAGGCAAAAAGTACTTTATCAACAAGTTAACTAAAAACATCTTTAAGATTTGTCAAAACCAGAAGTTTTTAAGATTAAATGTCAGTTCTTCACAAGCCTTCCTCTTGAATTAGTTTGTCAACACTGGAGTCCCACACCTTAAAAACATCATTAATCTCTTCCAGGATAGGAAATATTTCTCACTACTCAAATGAGATGCAACAGCCTCACACACCTCCTGCTCTGGCTGCCCTTAGTGAAGGTGGCCATTATGGTTTTTTGCTATTTTTTTTTTTTTTGCAGCACTTATCTCCAGCTACTGACAGAGTAGTTACATCCAAATTAGATTATCCTTTTTAAATAAAGGGAGTACGCAGTCAGATAGTACCCTATCTGTTGCTCTACATCTGCCTCATGGAGAGGACAAAGTAAAGAAACTGGGGGATTTGATAGGAAATAAATACTGAAAGGGAAGATATACTTCTAAATGTCTGAAGTATACTTTTGTCTGCTTTGAGCCTTACCCTATGCAAGTAAAAGAATGTTTATCAGTTTACTAATTAACTCATTTTGGTCTTTGGGAATGAAATGCCTGTGGTGCCATAGCTTGAAATGGAAAGATTTCCAAACACTGAGTAAAATTCTGAAAGCTCTGAAATCAGTAGCTGGTTGTTTACCCTTTCTCCCTCCTACACACATGACATTTAACAGCTTGCTGTGTGGTACGAGTTGATAGGTTTGAGCCAGTTCTCAAAATGTTCACTTTCTGGACAGTCTTACAGCAAAATACTTTAGTGAACTTTGCTCCTTTTGGACTGGGAAGTAGTATGTGTTTTGGTTTTAATTCTTTGACTTCTGCCCAGATTCAGTTTTTATGACAATGCAAATGGTGTAGCTATTGAAATAAGTTGTCCAAAAAAAGAAAATGCACCAAGCAAAAAAGTATGAACATGTAAAAGCAGAGGAACGAAGGCTGGTAGCTGGAAAGAGAAAGGGATAGCAGTTTTAACTTCTAACGTGTTTATCCTTAATAAGTTTAAACTGCTGAATGCAAAACTGTTTTCACTGTCTTCGGAAGAAAAGGCTGGGCACTTGAAACTTTCCCAGGTTAAGTCACTTATTTTGAAGCCTGAAGTTACATGAGTTTGGTTATTAATTTCAAAAATAATTTGTTTCTTAATCAAAAGAAAATAAATCCTCCAGCATGGTGGGAGACAGTATGGAAAGTCATGAAACTAGCATGGAAAAAGATCCTTTCTTAACAAGTCCTTTCTGGTAATGTGGTGCTATAAGTGAACATTAAAGAGGGAATTGAACCATTTCATAAACTGTGCTGCTGCCCCACTCTGATGTTTCTTTGGCTTTTTTTTTTCCTTCAGGGGTGAAAAAAGTTATTCCTGCTCACAACTTCCAATATGTTTATATCAACACATTGTATTGGTTACCAAATCTGTAACTAGCAAGTAATCAAAAGAACCACTTACCGAGCAGTTAGTGGTCCCGTTGTTTTTCTTTTTTTCTTTCTTAATTGGTTGTTGGGTAGTTAAAAGAAATATATGTTATGCAGCATTCTTCATCAAAGCATCAACAGATATCTGTGCACTTGGGGATAAATATACCAGCAATTAACAGTGTGTAGTCAGGGGGATTGGAGGTAATATTTTCTCTGCCTCTCTCTCCAGTCATTCCCCAAAATCTCTCTCAAAAAATAACATTGAATCAGATGTCTCTTGCATTTTCAAATAAAATAGAGAAAAGTGACAGAGAAAACAGACTTGATAACGTGCTATTTGATTCGTTCTTGTTCCAGATCCACGTAAGCAATGTTTCAGGTGACAACATATTTTATTTTGGTACGTGCGTATATTGTACTCAAAGAACCTCTTTTGTGTTTTGGTTGAAAATTGCAGCATCCAAAACTGACAGATTGAGGAAGAGTCAAGATTGAATACTAATATCATGACACTTAAAATTTAATCTTTACACTAAAACTGAAGCTAGCAGAAATTAAAGGTAGAAACTTCAGAAGAGATAGAATTTCTTTAATGAGGTAACTTGAACAATTACTGGTAATTTCAAAAGTGTGATATAGCTTACAGTGTAAACTGTGACCATATTTTAGATACCTTCTACACTTTGAGTAGCCATACCATGGAGAAGTAGAATGCACCATTATTATCTTGTCTGGGCATGCAGATGAGAAAGCAGGAACACTCTTATGGTGTGTGTATATGTATATATAGGCAGATCCTTAGGCAAGTATTCACAAGTTTTTCAGTGGTTTTGGGAAGTGCTTTGAAAAACATAATCCTTGGTAATGTGAATACTAGTAGGCACTGTTAAATAAGCTTAAACTTGATTACCTTCTCCTGTAGGTCAGCACAGCTTTAGTGCATTTAACAGGAATAGCTTCTATTTACCTCATCTCTCTGAGATATGCTCACATAAGCAAATACAAATGTTACACACTGTCAAAATACATGATTATAGATTCACAGTGTGACTGTATGTCAGTATGGAAATACTAAAAAGTGCTACTTTTTAAAACTGCATCTTAAGTTAATCTTGAAATATTTCTTCTTTTAATAGAGCCTTTTCCAAATTTATTACACAGTAATACAGTGCAGACCATTTTTCTCAACAAAAGTTGTCCAAAATGTGGTCTTGTTCTAGAGGGAGCTGGCTAATGAGTGAAAAATTGCTATGTGTTAATAGATGCCTTTTCATAAAACTGTAGCTTGATTTGGGTTTCCCCACTATTGTTTTAGGGTGTTACTTTTTACAAGATCTTGCAAAAATGCGCTTGCAGCAAAATGCCTTTTTTCCACAAGGGTTTTTACAGTACAGCAAACCAAGGAAGTACTTCATGTTTGTGTTATCTTACCACAGATGTCAATATCAACACTGTCTGAGGAAACACCAAACAGTGGCTCTAGCTTAGAAAGCTTCAAACAGAGGCAGAAACTTAAATGCGGATGTCAATACAAATCAAGGAGTATGTACTGTGGATTCCCTGTTCTGATTAACACTAGTGTTATCAAATAACTTGGGGCCTAGTTCTTGAAAGTGCTCTGCAAATTATTTCTCATCCTCTGAAGGGAGGAGAGTTCTTGCTTATATATGAATGGATAAGGCCATGCACCAGGTTTTCTTCAGGAGTGGAGAAGTGCCCACACTCATCTTCAGATCTCTTGGAAATGATTTCCCTAGAAGATTTCCATGAAAGGGCATATAACATGCAGAGGGGGTAAAGTGAGGGTCCGAAATAGCCACTGAACTACCTCAGTTGCTTCCTTAAGACTCTTAGCTCTGTGTGCTTTGCCATCAGTATGTAATTTTTCACCCTTCTTGTTCTGGGAGCCATTCTTTGCTTTCTGAATGACTAAACCTTTCCCCATAAGGTGAGGGTATGTCCTTGGGTTTGAGCAGACTCTGGGAGCAGGATGAAGCCAGTAACCCTTCCTGGAGCTTGGACACAGAAACTGGGCTTGCAGTCAGTTATTCTCACATCTTGCTTCCTCAACCCCCACCGTGCTGCTGGGGAGCCTGAAGTTACAGGGCTCTGAACCCCACACGGCCGCAGCTATCTATAGCAAGCGGCATTCCCAGCCCTGTACATTTCCCCTGCTGCATGCCACGGTATTGCCAACAGAGCAGGAACACTCATGTGATATCTGACCCATTGGTAATTGCTTTCCCACCCTATAGATTTGTAATCCATCTCTGTCAGTGGATTATTCTAAGAGGAAGGAGACATGTCCCTGTGAACCGGAGCTGAAGTTTAATCTGGTGAGATGTCATATTTTAGGCTTGAAAGCAGCCTGCCTGAATCATACAATGTTCATCTGGCATTGTCAGTCTGTGTCCCTATGATAAGGAGTTCAAGCCCCACATCCAAGGTTGGTTTTTATTTCATCTTTTTAATGAAGTCTTCCCTTCTAGAAAAGGGAGAGATTTTTGCAACAAAATGTATAGGCAAGTACAACCACATGTTCCAAATACGTGCCTTTTGCAGACAGTTAAATATGGGCCAATAAGTATCCACTAAAAGGTTTTTAATGCTTTTAATGTGTAATTGCAATATGTGTCCATAAGAAAATAAATCCTATATAAACCTCTTTATGTTTTAAGAGGACAGTATGTCTGGGGGATTTAGAGCAGAAACAAGTAGATTCAGAAGCAAGTGAAGAGTGGTGCCTGGCTAACTGGAGCTGGGATGTAGAAAGTAAGGTTTTGTAGCCCAGTCGTCTCTTTTGTGAATGTCTTTCCCATCGTATGTGCAAAAGAAGCATTTGAAAGTGTAGAAATAGGAATTCTGAGATGACTAGTGTTGGCACAGGAATGTTGCCAGGTATATCTGGAACTACTGCTAACTAAACGTGCCCTGGAATCTTTTACCAGTAGCATTGCTGGTGGAAAACATCACATGTATAAAGTGCCATTTTCAGTAGCTGTTCAGGTGAGCGAGACTTCTCTGTTCCCAGATGAACCCTGATTAGCACAAGAGAAAAAACACACTTGGCCATCTCAAGCATGTCAGAATCCCAGGGAGTCACAAGCCTCTTTTGAGGTGAGAGGCTTCCCTTGTACCTGAGCTTTCAGCATCTCTGGTGCTTGCAGGGCCCCTGAATGGTGATGCCTTGTCTCTACCCATACCTCCCTGCCGAATAAATACCTGTAGATGCAGGTAGGAATTTCAGGAGGCATTCATTCATCCATCACAATTTTCAACAAATAAAATTCCAATGGGGTGTAAGGGGAAAAAATATTCCCAGGGAAGAGTGGTGAAGCATGGAACAGGTTGCTCGAAGAGAGTGGGATGTACCCATACTTGGAAGTTTTTAAAATCTAGTGGGAGGAGGCCTGGAGCAATCTGATCTGACTTTGAAGCTAAGCCAGCTTGGAGTTGGGGGTTAAAATAGCTGACCTCTGAGGGTCACGTCCAACCTCAATTATTAGGTAATTTTATCTTCCATTCATTGTGGGGTATGATCCTGGGACGGGGAGGGGGGGAGGTCTTCAGCAATTTTGTGAGCTAGGGAATGTGTGTTTACCACCCTGTTAGCTATATTTTCAGTTGGCAACATTTAGTAGTAGCTTGTAATCATAGTAGATCCAGCCTCAGGACTGCCCTCTCGCCTAAGACTCTCAGAACTATTAACTGAAAACCAAAGCCTTGCTAAGTCTGTGCAAAGTAGGTAAATGTACCAGTTTTGCAGAAAAGTACGTGGAGATACAGGAATGGAGCTGTTTATGCAGGCAATCAGCAGAAGGATGTATGTAGATCCTAGGTAGCCCAGCTTCATGCTGTTCTGTGGGCATTATGACAGCTGGGTGCAATTCTTTAATACAGTTTGTGGAAATTTTTTTTTATTTTTTATTTTCAAATTAAAAAACCAACCCATACTTTTTAAATCATTCACTCTAATAGTGCTTTTTCTGGTGTTACAAAATGCAGCATCAATTCATGGTGGGAAAGAGAGTGGGGCCACAGGTGGCAAAAGAGGGAAACCCATCTGTAGAGGGGTCAAATTGAGTTCATAACTCTATTTACTGTGCTGGTTTTATGTTTAATAAGATTTGGTGCTGATGTGTCTACTTACAGTAATAAAACCTAATTTTTTAGTAAGGTATCACTCAGATCCTCATCTGATACAAGGAGTGTTTAAAGAAGAAGGAAGTTCATATACAAATGCTTGTGTTGAAATCTGGAATCAACTACAGCTCATATTTGATGTTCTAAAACATGCCTTAAAAAACCATTGTTGTCTTAGGACAGCTGAAGTATTTAATTAATGCTGGTGAGGTAAGCAGGGGATTGGCTGCAGTGTCTTTTCATCCAGTTCATGGACTGAAGGGGGTAGTGCCTACTTCCCTGTGCTTAGAGAGAGGGGGAAAAAGTAACCTTTTCTCTTCTGCTGGTACAGATCCATATCCAGAGAACAGAAGGGTGTGACCACATGACCTGTTCCCAGTGTAACACTAATTTCTGTTACCGTTGTGGGGAGAGATACCGCCAGCTCCGGTTCTTCGGAGATCACACGTCAAACCTCAGTATCTTTGGATGCAAATACCGCTACCTCCCCGAGAGACCACATTTAAGGAGATTAGTGCGAGGCTCTGTCTGTGGTGAGTGGATAAATGTTCCTTGTGGAGAGCTGCACAATGAGGTGATTGAGTGTGGGAGTCAGTAATAGTTAAATAAAACCTAGTGCTTTAATGTATTGGAATGGCAGCCTGTTGTTCAGCTATGTAAAAGGTGGTTTGTTAAATATATTTAAATAGTATTTGCATTCCCTTTTTTGATGGATTACATATGTGTATAAGTATCATATTCTCTTCTGCTTCCTAACATTTTTTAATAATACATAAGCAAACTGGAAAAATACTGTCAATATGAGTGTTGCTTGCTGTGATTGTTACTCTAAAAGCATATTAAAGATACAGAAATGAACAGGAAAGTGGATGAAAATTCAAAATGATTGGATGTACCTACTCTGGTAAAATCCAATGCATGAGAAGATCTGGTATAGATTAAAGACAATGCTGGCACTAGAGCACATGGGTATAAACAGTTCATTAATAAATTTAGGCATACAATGCAAGAACCATTTCAAAGCACCTAGTAAGGTTGCAGAAGAGCTTTTAGTAAAAGCCACTATAACAAACAATGTGTTTTTTAAAATGGTTCTTCGTACGTTTGATGGAATTACTGTGATAGCAAAGGACTGCGCTCAGAAGTATTACCGAGTCAGTGCTGTTCACCTGCAGAAACATTGGTAATCTCGTTCCAAGGTTAAATCTCCTATGTACAATGGAGATACAAATATAAAATTAGTGGGTTTTATCACAGATCTGCAAAAAATAACATTCCTGTTTACTTAATTTTTGCAGTGGTTTACAGTAACATATCTAAATATGCAGTTGGCATGTTTAAATGCCATATACAAAGTCTAAAATACAGGTGCATGTACACTTTATGAATAACTGCCAAAACACTGCAGAGTGCTAACAGAACTCACGCGTGAAAATGAAAAAAATAAAAATTCCCTCAGTTTACATGAGATTAGATTTCAGGAATTGAGGTCACTGCTCTTCCTCTTGGGTTAGATTTTCGCTATGATTGGCATATGTGAGCTAGTCTAGGGTTTTGTACTTTTTCCAGACAAGCACACATGGGTATGGACACATCTTTTTAAGAAGGTGGTGTATTGTTGTAAGACTATATCCCATGACATTTTTCTTTTGAGACAGTATAATCCCTAATTGTGGTACAGTGTCAGGTCAATTTGTGGATTCTGCCATCTTCAATGGTGGAAATGATTGTTTTAAATACTTCCTTAGCTAAGGTTTGTATCTGAACCTTTGCTTAATAATTATCAATAGATACATGATTCACCAATTTATACAGTTCTTAAGTTTTGGCTTCCACATCATCTTTGGTAAGGGCTGTAGGATTTCAGTATGTGTTGTGTGGTATCTTTGTTTTATAGACCCTCCATCAGATTCTTTGTGGTGGTCTTTGATTATTTTTAGTATTATTATTTTTTTGTTTGTTTTGAACTGGAGCTTCCTAGTCTTAATCATTTAAGATCAAGTTGAAAACCCAGAAGTGTTTAATTCCAGTTAGGGATCACACCTAGGCTCAGAGGTGTCCTGTTAGCTGCAACCATAAATGTAAATATGTTAAGGCTTTATAAGGCAGGAGGGGAGCATTCTCAGTAGAAGGTGTCACTGTACAAGCCTGGATTTTGTTTCCATTCTCAGACTCAGTGAAAGACATTAGAAGGAGGAGATAGTAGCAGAGAGGCCATCAAAAGCATCTTTAAATTTTAGTAACATGTAGCAAGAAATAAAGGTTGGATGTCTTGTAGTAAAATCCCTCTGCTAGTTAGCTAAGTAGTGGAAATTCAGAGAACATTATCTTGGCTGTCAGTGGGAGACTGGTGAGGTGTTGCTACACATTTTCTTCTGTGACTCTTATTACTTTCTTGCTATGGAGAATAAATGCTTAAGTAAACGTAGTGATTTTGTAGCCTTGTGCAGGAAAGGGTTTTTGGCTTGTTTCTATCAAATCTGGGTGAGTGGGGCATGTAGAAAGGAAAGAACACTTCATGGCAGGCTGGCATGCTATCATAGTTTCTGTTGAGAAGCAAGGAGTTGTGCCTACAGTCACAAACTGTTCTGTAATAAAAATAAGAGAAAAGCATTTGTGGCAGCATAAATTTTTAAACATACTTTTCTTCATAAATCAGTGTTTTTTGTAAAGGTAATGGACATAACAGTGAGAAGAAGAAAGCCTGGGAGCAGAAGGTCACTGAATTTGATGACATTTCGCTCTCTTCTTTAGCAAGCATATTTTTTTTTTTTAGAGAAGCTTTGTCCTTTGACCAGTACAATAAGGTGAAATTCCTTTTATCCTTCAGTTGCAGCAGATGTAGAGATTCCATTCTCATAGTAATTATTTGGCTAAACTGTTGAAGGCAGAATGTTTTCTTATAACTGGAGTTAGCACAGAAAGGAGAAACATGTTCAGTTGTCTTAAATGTACTTGAAGTCGCCTATAGGTACTCGATAGGACTCTAAAAATGGATGCAAACTTGTGTTAGAACTTAACATAGATATGACTAGTTTGATGTACAAATAGGTAGTTTCAGTGGCTCTATTTCTTAAACATAAAATTATATTTGGACTTGAAAATCAGAACTTTATCATATGCAAATTATAAAATTGTTTTAGAAAATTACTAATTTTTTTCACCTGGCAAAGGATTCTCTAGGGATTTATGGATGTTTGTATATATTACCTTAAAATGCGCAACCAAACCCAGGGTTATGCAAGAGAAAAATATTCCTTCGTGTTTCTTTAAATACTTTCTCATTTTGCAGAAAAACGTCATCTTCTATATCACAAGTAATGCAGCCCCTCTGAGACACCAGCAATTAATTGTAATTTGTGCAAGTCTTGTTCACCTTTTGTTAACTTGCTCTTAATTTTAGTTTACAAAGCCAAAGAGAGATAAAGGATTTAAATGTAAGATATATAAGGAGAAAAGTATTTTGTTTTGTTTTTAAAATTTAACCTTTAGAAAGAATGCATTGATAACCAAAAGAAGATACTGTCCCATGACAATTAAAAGTCATTTTATCCTGTACAGTCTTGGAACTACTCAATACTTGTAACTTCATATACACAAGGCAGAAGGAAAAAGGCACTCACTTATGCTTTATCTCTGAGTTAGTTTATGAAACTAAGTTTATGTAAGTAAACAAGTCCTTAAACTGCATTAGTTTAGGAACCATTCTTTGTCTCTGCAAAGAAATTACTCCACTCAAAAGCTAGTTTAGCTCTTTCTGCAGGCTTTATTTCTGTGTACTTAACCGCCAGTTTAGTGCTTTAATATTTTTGTAATTTTGGTACTAAACATCATAATTTTCCAACATTCTAATTATGTGGTTATTGATAGAGAGTTCATACCTTAAAATAATTTTTTTATAAAGTTTACTTTGAAATAGTTAAAGGCTTTGGTAATGTTTTTAATTGCTCATTTTTGGAGTTTTCTCAAGGTTTTCCATCACGCTACATTCCTTCTCCTGTCTATACTTGACTGTTTTGCTTGGACAACTTCTGTGTGTATAGCACGCAGCACAGTGGAGTCCCAGGCAGGTCCACCATTATGATGCCTAGCAACTAGAGTAATACCAATAACATTTGCTGATATTTTTCTTCTAGGAATTAATGCTTTCCACCCACAACACTTCTATGAAATATAAAAGCTATCAAAACAGACCATGAAAAGGACCTTTTACCTTAAAATGTTGTAATTTTTTCCAAAATATCTCATTTTTCCCTCAGACTGCCCAAATTAGTGGCTCAGGTTATGGAGGGGTTTACATCATTACTGAATGAGGTAATCCTTTCAGTGCAATCTGATACAAGTGACTTAAGGGAGGGGAGGGAAGGGAGAGGTATAAAAACTTGCTTTTCCTCTCTTCTTAGAGGTGACCTTTCAAATGCATGTATAACTTAAGAGAGCTGCTTCATTTCAAAGGCTTGATCAGACTGCTAGTGTATCAGTAAAAATGCCTGCCCTGCTGCATTTTCAAAGAGCTGAGACAAGTGATGTCTTTGATCCAGCCACTCAGCCAACACAGCCTGGGAGACACTGCTGTTCTGTTCAAAGCATGCAACTTGGGAAAGATAACTTGGACTCAAAGTTCAGTTTCAACTTCAGTGTTTCAGGAGGAGCCTTGCCTTCTCTCCATGCATTTCTACAGATCACGAGCTCACCAGAAATAAAGAATATGAGCATTCTTTATTTGCTCTTAGTCGTATACTAGCCAGCGTCCTGCACAACCTCACCAACTTACTCATGTAAGAGCAGCATCATACCCTTTCAAATGTTGATCCAAAATAGACTTGGCTGTGGATTTAAGCCTAAATCAGAACTATATGTGAGGACCTCACCGTAGCATTTTAAAGTGAGCAGAAGCATATTTAGAGGTGATGGTCTCATCACCTTGAGCTAACCTAAATTCTCCAAGATGCTGGTTTGGTTGGCATCTTTCCAGGGTGGTTGTTGTGCAGAAGGATTCCGGAGAAGCCAAAAGATAGTAGCTCTGTAGCTATCAAGTTCCTGTCAATGCCTGAGGGATTTCAGAATGGAAAGAGAAGTAAATGCAAGCTGTGAATGTACAAAATGAGCTGTGCTTGGATTGTTATGGAGGGTGAAGAGGCCAGAGAGAAATGCGTGCAGGGAGCTGGCTGAGGAGTGGTAGCTCTTAGCTGGGTTTGTAGGATGAATTTACAAATAAGAATCCTAATAAAGTATCAAAAACCAAACCTACTTTTGGGAGTCTGAGATTGAAATATTTATGGATGATTAGAAAGGGAAAAATAAAATGCCTACTTTGAATTATTCAATGAATTTTGCATTTCAGCTGGAAAACTGCTCATTACTCCCCTAATACTGGTTCTGGGACTGGCATTGGGAGCCATAGCTGTTGTAATAGGTAAGAGCTACATATGTGAACAAGTCTAATTCTGATTTTCTCTCTGACATCTCAGTACTTTAATCTCAGAGATTGACACAAGGTACAAATTTTACAGATTATGTTTTAGTATAAAGCACATGACATTTTTTCTAAAAACTTTGTCTTTAGAATCTTTTTTCTTACTTGCATTTTATGCCTACTAGCTGTATTATCTTTTTTTCCCCAGTTATTTGGTTTTCTGAACTAAAATCTTTTAACTAGTATAGCTAAACAAGTGAAAAGGCCAGAATAATTTAAACGCAGCCTTGGGTACTCGCTGACTTGAACCCTCCCCTTAATCACCCTAGTGAACCACAATTCTAAGGTCTTGGTCATGTGCATGATACGATATTTGGGGCACTAGGCATAGTCCCCAGAGCCCTCCAGCTTGAAGATTACAGCAACAACAATAAGGCAGCAAATTGAAATGAATCAAAATCTGATTCAGTGCATAGGCTGCTAAATTGAATTCCATCACAAAAAAATAAAAGGTACTGTGAACTCATATAGTATCAAAGCTCTGTTAATGTGGTTGCATTAATGTGGATGTAGTTATTCTAGCTCTTTGCCTGGCTTAGCTGAAGTCTTCCACAGAAGTTAAAAAAGCCATAACGATAAACATATAATTTTGTACATGTAATTGCATTTCCACTATTTGTGTTGGCAATAATAATGTTAATGAGGGATCTAGCTGCTTTACCACTCTTCACCAAACTACTTACTCCATTTAAAATTTGTGATTGTGATGCCTCAGGCCTGGGCACCTTTTATTTTGATACAGTAAAGCCAAAATATACCAGGACAGTTACATTAATAAGATTGTGCATAACCAAACAGCATATAACCCAAATATTACTACAGCTTTTGTGGACTACATATAGCCAAATAAGGAATATTGATATTAATTTCAGTATTTAGGCTAAGAATACACATCTCCTTCCTGTATTAATATTGTGTTGGACTCACTGAAGAGAGATACCTCTATAAAGATACAGATAGATAGGTATCTGTCTTAAATATTTATTCTTTTTAGTGGCATTTTATTGCCAAAAGTATAGGTAGTAAAAACTTCTTAATGCTGGTAAAGCTTATTTTGTTCAGCAGTCTGGTATAATCTATACTGGGAGAAAAACACTCATTTGCTTATGTTAAAAATTAAGAGGGCTTTGCAGTAATACAATAGCAATAATTGCAGTAATACCCAGTGTGCCATTAAAGTCCCATTCTAGGCATGACTGGATAAGATATGATCAAGAACAAAAGACATCAATTATTTATAGGAAAGATTTGGTTTTGAGGTAATTACAGCAATTTTGTTGTTAACACAACTGTTAAAGTAATGTCAGCATCATAGCTGACAACCATTTTACACCATTTACAAGGCTGTTGAGCAAAGGAAGGACCCTAGTTACTGTAGTAGCCTTTTGTCATATGTTGTTACTGTAGAGGTGTCTGAAAAGGAAGTCTTTCACCGTTTCAGTCAGCTGATGGCAAGAGAAATGGTGAAGTGCTTCTCATTTGAACTTAAGAGAGTCCCTCTTATGACACTATTTTGCACTTGAGTAAGTCTGATTTATGTATTTATTTTTCCTTTTACAGCTTCCTTTCTCCCAAAAGACTTTTAAGAATAAACAGTTCCTTGCCCAGGCAAGGATAAACATTTGGTATTACTTCACAATAGATGCTTATAAAAATAAATATTATTTAAAGGGGCAAAAAAAGTAAAGCTATAACATGCTGCCTCTATGGCCAATGAAACTGGCTGAAAACTAGTTCAGTTAAGTCAGCCTTGGATTTAGATCAAAGAATTCCCAAAGCGCTTTTAAAAGTTTTAAGTTTGTATCTTGCACAAACCAGCATGGTTCAGGAGTTAAGTTTGGCAGAGATGGGAGTAGGGTTAGCGGGAGTTTGTTGTAAAGTAAGCAAAGTGTAACTTAACTCATTACTGAAGAAACTGTTGCAGGCTAGTGTTTCGGTTTGTCCAAATTCTTCTGAGACATGGAAAGTTGCATCTGAATGTGTACATTGAAAGAACACGATGCATGCATAAAGGATTGCATTTAATTATGTTTTTCTTCTTTTCTTGTTTTGGCAGGTTTATTTGTGTTTCCTGTCTATTGCCTTTGTAAAAAGCAGAGGAAAAGGTCACGGACAGGTATGCCCTGGTAAGGATGGACCTTACTCAACTGAGCTGGTCCTTCAAGGGCTATACACGCTTTGTGCAACAGAGCAATACAGTGCTGGTTAACAGCATCAGAACAACAGCCCTGGAAGAAGAATGGGGGATCTCCTGCTGTCTTCCCTCAGATAAAAACACTACTGCAGACCAGAAAGCCTCTTTGTTCTGGTGCACTCCGAACAAGATGAGCCCCCTGACTGCTGCTTTTTAAATGTTTTGGGGTTTGGGTTTGTTTTTTGTTTTTTTGTTTGTTTGTTTGTTTGTTTTTGTTGGTTTTTTTTTTTGTTATTACTTTGGAGGGTTTTTTTGAGCCTAAGTTTCTGAACTAGACAATCAAAGTCTCTCTTGTAGCCACAACTTCTACCGATTTGGCCTGTGAAGAAAGTGTTTAACTGCTAACGTGCTCCGTTTAACTTCAGTGTCAGCCTTTAAGGGGGAAATGCTTAGAAGTGTTTGGACTCTTACTGTATACTGAGCATACTACTTTTGGTATTAAAAACTACTTCTGTAAATAACTTCCATCACACAGCATTCTGTTCAGCATACCAAAACCCCGTCACATGCCAGAGCACAACAGCTGGTTTATCTTCCAAGTCCTAGGCAATAGTGTAGATTGCCACCGCCAAACTGCAGTGCCTCAGAGCAAAATAATCCTTAGTATTGAAGGTCCATTATACTTACAAATATACTGATTGGGTTCAAGTCAGTGTTTATGGCAGTCTTAATATTGACTGTGAGGTGTGTGACAGATTTGTTAGAAGAGTATTGCATTCTGAAATCCTTCCAGTACAGAACAAAATTTGAGGGATTTAGATAAGAGGAAGTGTCGCTGGCCTGTTCTGTCCCAGATATCCCTGAAACATGTTTGCAGGGAAGGTGGAAACCTGCTCTTCTATTCTGACTTGGCATATAGTACACATGCTGCACACTAGTTGTGTGAAGATTGACGGTGAAACTTTATAACCTAAATAGCATGTTTTGTTTGTTTAAGTAGGCTACATAAGGCTTAGAGTATCCTTTGATGTCTCATGAGGAAAATCTGTGAATTTTGGGTAAGGGGAGTGGTCATTAATTCTGAGGAGACCATTTTGTCCTTATTCTCTGCTTCCAGTGTTTCTCTTCCTGGCACGTTACAGATCTGAAGAGAATAGTTATCCTTGCTCTTTTTTCCTAACTTCAGAGTGCTGCTGTTTGCTGCCAGACCTCTTTCTCAGTGCAAAACCACAAGAGCAATGTAATTCAACGTTAGGAATTGTCTACTGAGATTTTTTTCACTTTTGGTTAAAATCCAAATTTATCATACAAATATAATTTAAAAATAGAAGATAAATTTATGTAAGCAGAACACTGAAATAATAAAGGAAGTATCTACTTTAAAAATACAAGCTGGTCTTAAAGAAGATTGGATCTGTACTGTGAAGGTACTTTTTTTTCAGTGTGTGTGTTTGAAGTTACACGTGTATATAAATAGTGAGAGGGGGAAGCAGGGAGATGTCAATGTCCTAAAGAATTTACAGACTTCAGAACCTAGGTCTGCAAATAGCGTATCATTTGAGAGGATGTACTTTGCACCACTTTCTTTGAAAATTGTTATTAAATCTGAATTTAGTTGTAATTTTTAAGCAAATAGTATTCGGCCCCGCCAACATAATACTGTTACAAGATACTCACCTTGACTTCAAAGCCTCAGTGGAAGAAACCAATGTATCTTGTTTACCTGGAAACACAAATATCAGCTTACCGTAGCTGGCTAGTATGCTTGTTTTCTGTCAGCTTCTGGTTTTGTTTTCTTGGGGTTTTTTTCTTGTTGAAACAGTGCATGCAAGCACAGTCAACAAGTACTTAGTATTTCCTTTTGAATTTAAGGGCATGTTGACTCTGTTGTCCTAACAGTAGAAGTAGTATCTTTTTAAAATGTGCAAATTAAGCAGGAAAGCAATGACATTTAGAAGTAAAGTTCAAAGCATATTGTCAATGCATATCTACTCATTAATTAGATTTCTTCTTCTGTGACATGTCAGTTTTTCTGTTTGTGTTCTGTCTGAGGTTGGAAGCTGCCTTAAAAGTCTTGGTTTGAGTGTGTTTTCTGAGGCTATACATATCAGTTGTCTTTGGCTTACTCAGGGATTTTTAATCCTCTCTTTAAATGTCAAATAATGAAGATATTTTTGTATTATTTAGAAAAACCTTCAAACCTCAGAGTGAGATATATATAGACAGATTTGGGTTTGCAATGCAGTATGTAATACGGTGTCAAACTATTCCACATGAGAATACTTTCGTACTTGAGATTATCTGTAATTAACTGTACAGTGGGTTAATTTCTTTTCTTTTCTTGGTTCTTTATAAATATGTGAGATATTCTTACAGTTTTTATAGCTGTTTTCACTGGCTTTGTTTGCCATTTTCAGTTTCTGATGGGACTTCAGAAAGATTTGAAATTAAGATGTGAGAATAAAGTGCATTAAAGGGAACATATTAGATCTGCACTTATTTATATTCAGAAAGCATGTCATTGTGGGGGGAGGAAAGGAACACTCATCTCTGCTCCTACATTATCATTTCATCTAGGCCATTTTTATTTTATCCATACAGATTAAATCAAAGGGAAATGGTTCGTCATTTTTTACACGTAGCAAAAAGAGGCATCTTTGACCTTGAAAGACGAGAGAGTCTAATCTTCCTCTGTCAGTAGAAAAAATAATAGGAATGACAATAATACTTGCTTTTGCTTTTCTGTAGAATAGGAAAGTATTTCAAGAGGCAGTCAGAGTAGGAATATGGAAGTCTTTTTCCATTCCTATTAAAATATTCCCATTTGAATAGTACATAAATACAATTTTCCATTAAGTAACAAAAGCAACTGAAATAGTAGTTTAATACAAAACTTCATTCAATAAAATGCTAGCTTTTTCTCATATCCTGTATCAAATCCTACATGCATCAAAGGCATGTCATTTGTTTTACAAGAATTATCAGTTTGAAAGAAATGGAATGAATTTAATTGAAAGGAAATTCAAGAACATTTTTATTATGTAAGTGTGTTTGGGTTTTTTTGTAACTGTCCTCTAAAGAAACCGTCAGACTGTCCTACTCCATCTTTATTAGCAGAAAACTTCATCAGGCAGCTGAAATAACCTGCGAAGGCAGATTTCACACTACTGTATGCTGATCATCACTCATCATCAGGTTTGCTTTCATCACGTTTAATATTTAAGATTGTTTATCCATATGCAAAGTTGTTGCTCACTGATATCTGTATTTGAACTAGGAAATGCTTAAATCCATTCTACCTAGCATTCTGTTTCAAGCTTGCCTGGAAAAGGCTCTACACATGCTCTTGAGTCTCCTTTCATGCATGCGGTTGGAGCTGGTGCCCTCCTTGCAGCACCATGCCATGTGTGTTCTGTCCTGCCTGTGCAGGAGGGGACTGCTTTCCCTTTCGTCACTAATAGTAATTGGTTGTATTTAACTAATTGGGTCAGATTTCAGGGCTGCTCAGCCATGTCAGTAGCAGGGTGATTCTGACTGCTGTGGCATCTTGGAGCATAGTTAGGTATATTTGCAGAGCTTATCCAGGAGCTTGTGACTGGAAAATAATTGTGCTTTTCCTCATGTCAGCCTATTAGACAGTGAGAATACAAGCGAGAGGCAGAAGTGCAGTTCTGAGTAGCCTTATGCTGTATCTGACCCATCTGTTCTAGATCCATGCGAAACAGTCTTCATTTCTCACCACCTCTGTAATAAATAACATATTAATATTTTTCAAATGTCAATTAAACACAGTCACTTTGAGTGATCCATTATCTTCCTTTGGGGCAGTGCAAATGTGTAAATAAGATTTTGTATTGCTTTAGTGTTAGTGATGCTGACTTAGTAACTCTTCCTGGTATGTTAGATGCTTTTTCATTTACATCTGTTTATTGGTTCTGAAAGTTTGATCAGTGTGAAGTTTTACTTTATTAAAAATATTAATTTGCAGGGACTATTGCCAATTAAACAAGAAAGTGTTTGGGATCACCATCTGGTATTCCTTTTAGCCATGGGGCTTTCTGCTCTTCCAAAGACTGCCATAGCTTGTGTGATGTGTAGGTAGGGCAGTAATTCTGTTAGAGCATACAAATTCTCCAGTGATTGAATGGTTTCTCTTGCCAGTTAAATATGAGAAATTGTGTAATATTCAATGGCCAAATAGTTTTCCATGCAGACTCTTTTATTATTATTAATTGGTTGTGGTGGTTTGTTTCTTGAGCAAACTTGGTATCATTTATAATTCTTGGGATGATTGTTGTGTAGGTCTGAGCTGTGGATGAGAACCATGGATTTATTTTTATAGTTCATATTAGAGTTCAGATTTTGCTGATGGAAAGAATCCTACCTGAGGAAGCTGTGGGAGAGAGAATTTCTTGGTTTCTTTTAATTTTGCAGCCTTATAGTTGCCAGCGAGTCAGCTTCATTCCTGACATCTGTCATAGCCCTGTTTAAACCAGGGAAGTTGTACTCTTTTTTTTTTTTTTTTTTTTTTTTATGCTAGTGTGGAGTTTGGTCACAAACACTTCAATAAAAATATCTGGAAATGTGTTGAAGCCATTGTGCAGCAACTTGAAAATCTGGTTTGCTTCTGAGGAAGTGCCAATTACTATGGGGCTGGTCCTCTCACTCGCAGAGTGATGCTATTTCTAGAGAGGGCAGGGAGTAGTGAAGAATTTCCAAATGAGATTCTTACTAAAGCAGATTGTCAGGGGAAGGAGTACTAGCTTTTAATGTCATAGAGACCTTCTTAATGCTTCAAGTCACTAGTAAAGTTAGAAACAACATCCACAGACAGTGTTAAATAACATACCTGAAAATTCTTTATTCATGTAACAGATACTAACATGGTGCAAGAATTGGAATTATAGCTCTTCAGTATGTTTTGGACTTAACATATAAACTTGAAAAAGAGGGCACATCCAAAAAGTTACCTTGCTGATATATTTGATGGCTAATTTTGCTACTGTTACACGAAAAAACAGCTGCACCTTGGTTCAACTGCAAAACTAGAAGTATTTTCACTTGAGTACTACTGAAGCTATAACACAACATCCCCAAACTTTTTTGTTAATAAAACTAACAAATGCACCTTATTGCAGTTACATACTGTTGCTTCCTGGCTGGTTCTTCCTTATCTCTCTGTGCATAAGGTCTCAGGGTCTATATGTTCTCTCTCCAGTAAGGAATGGAATGTTCACATTAGGCAATTAATTGCTGATGGTCCTCTTAGGCTGACAGTGAAATACCATGAGGTAGGGAAATCAAAACTGATCTTGGAGTGCATGCTTTGATTTCAAAGATAAAAATGTGTAGCAAGCTTTAATTATGTAATCCTTAATAAAAATAGATAACATAAATTTTGAAGCATAATTCCAGCTGTTTATAAATACATCTGTTTAAAAAACAGTAATAGAGCAGTAATAATAGCAGTTAGCTTATTTAAAAAACTCACTGTGCAGAAGAAAATCTTTTGGAGCTTTTTTGGCCAATCATAACTTAAAAAAAAAAAAAAACACAAAAAAAAAAAAACAAAAAAAAAAAACAAACCAGCCTAGCCTGAAGGGTTTTGAATGGATCAAAGTCAGAAAAGGAAGAACTTACTGTGTCAAAAAAAATTGATGTTTTTAGCATAAACATGGATTTTGCACATACCTGGTGAAACACATGCTGACCCCATTCAGTGTTGAAAACTTGTCATTCTGAAAACAGTATTGTTGAAGTTTTAATCCACTGTCGCTGAGCATGATGTTACTAATACAATGCCACATTTACCTCATTTTTAGAAGGAAAATCTACTTACAGAATCCAGACAAGCTGTTCAGATGTTTTAAACCTGCCCTGTAAAAGTGCTGATGCAGTCAAGAAATATTTCCATGCCTTATGCAAGTTCCGGATAAGCAGATGGATTCAGTATTTAGTCATGGACTATATTTCGCATAAAAAAAAAAGCACTCTTAATAAGACTTCTTCATACCAATTTACATTCTGCTGCTTCATGTCCACAACTTTCAAGGGCAGGAGTAGATCTACATTTCACTGTGTTTACCATCTTGTAATAAAATGTTTACCATATTTCCATTTGTTATACACTTTATTTCTAATGCTCTCCTTTTCCTTCCACATTTTGTAATTTGAAACTGACTTGTGAAAATGACTAAAGATGAAATTGGACCTGGAAAATGTGATCTCATAACAAGTTCCAGTAATGCTCTGCTGAGCTATACCAGCAAAAGATTGATTCTGTTGTATTGAAATTACTTGAATGCAAAATGCTGAAATCTGTTTTTCTTCAGGGGTTTTAATTTTGCTTTTTTTAAAAATGTAATTAAAAGCACAGTCACCTTTGTTACATGTCTGAGTCCAAATAACTTTTTAAGGTATTTGTTAATTCATGTGACTATGGTAGAGATGAGGATAATAGGTGCTGAAAAAAAGGAAACATGATATTTGAGGGGATTGTCCAAGCTGGACTTTATCTTAATTCCATGACAGTTCAATGAGAAATGTTCCTCTGCCCCCATTCCTTTTATATATTTTATGGCGAAGTATTCCTTTAGAATCTGGTTAATTTGAATAGCAGGAGATGAGGCTAGTGAGGTGATAGATTACATCCGTTTTAGTGTACAGGCTTCTGGCACAATTAGAGTGCTGGCCAAAACACTGTAGATTCATTAAGAAAGCAATTTCTAACTCCACATTTGGGCTATATACACACTAGATGCATCAGTGATCAGAACTTTCTGTAGTATGTTTACTTGATGACTAAGAAGTTGTAACTGGAGGTAGGCAATACCCATGTAATTAGTGCTTGAATTCCAGTATTCAGTGTGTTTTCTATAATGAGGAATTTTAAATGTGTGCCTTACTGCTTGAAACAAATGAAGAGTGTTTGCTCCCCTCCATAGAGCAATATGGGAATGCCAGTTCTGTGGACTCTTACAGACAGACCTGTTAAGCCAAAGTAACCAACACTGGTTTGTCCAGAAAGTTGAAAAGTATTAGGGTAGAAGTTATCTTTTTTTATGATTTATAAAAGTAATCCAGCATGCCTGTTTTAACTCTGATGACCTTGATCTCATTTCTGTGTTTTTAACTTGCTGTTCACTCTTCCCTCCACCCCTCCATTTCCTTTCAGACTTCTGCAGAAATGCATCTTACATTGTCAGGATGAGTTTGGTCTTCCAGCATAACTAGCTAGGAATTTTCAACCACTTGAGGAAATGCAACTTTTTGGAGAAGAGAATTCAACTGAAGTTAGATTAGTCCACAACCTGTGGTACGTGTACCTTCAAACTCCAGGGCTTAAATGGGCTCTGTCAGCGCTAATTCATGAAGGTAGAAGCACTGAGGAGCTTGGTGCACGGAGGTGCACTAGGCTGAGACTCAGAGCAGTTAAACAGCATTTCAGTGGCATCCAACTTGAACTAACACATGCTGTTAATTTAAGTTGGTAATTCCTCTGGGGTGGGTATCTGCATGGACTAAACCATCAAACAGTCTTGGTGGAGCGGCTCTGGGATCAATGTGTGATGGGAGGTGTGGTCTGAAGAAGTAGCATTTGTTTTACTGTCTTCAAGTTGCCTCATAATAGATTCTGTAGGGTATCTTCTAGGATTACTTCCTTTCCCAGAAGACTCTGGAATTTCACCTTTCATGATCTAGATTTTCTAAAGGATCTGTTTCTTTTCTTACTAACATTGCTCCCACTTTTGTCCATGTATTGGAAGTCAGGTGCCAAGAATAAGCTGCTTCTCTAAAATTATCTTGAATTATATGAACTTCTGGTAGAAATTATCTTAAAAAAAGGTGTTATAAAACTGTCAGAAGGAAATGGAATTAATAAGGGGGGGGGGGGTAAGAGCAAAACTGGTGCTTAGAAGGTCTTATTTCCTGCAGATTCATGATCACAAAATGGTTTTACTATGTTCAGTTTCTTCCACTAAGAATTTGTGAAGGAAGAAAAGAAGAAAGGGGGGGAGAAATGAAGATAAGGGTCTCTCTGAACCTTTTCTTCTCCTGAAATTTCAGAACTGTAGGCTTCCTTCCACCCCCACCCCAGTTCTTAAATGGTAATATAACTTGAAGTGTTCTTTGTGAAGCATCACACACAAGTGTTTTATCAGGATTCAGCTTGCATATCTGAAGGTTTAGGGAGTTTGATTTAGAGCCATACTGCAATAAAATAATTGAATTATCACTTACAGATACCTTAATAACTTCTAGCTCAGTATTATTTTTAGGCATTAAGTCATTCTATAACCCACTGAATAGGAGGCACCATGTGTCAAAATGCTTTTTCAGTCTTACGAGTTACTATTTATTTTAAAGTTCTTTCCTTTAAATGAACTTTTTCTTGCAACCATCAGGCACACAGCCAAATTGCTGATAAGGATTTTCCATTATCTTTCTTCTGCACTTAGCTGATAACTACATTTTTGTTGCATAGATTTGCAACAGTGGTCTTCATGCTGTAATAACTTGATGAAAATATTTGGTAGTCTTGGGCAATATTTTACAAATAATCCATCTTCAAGTTGGTATTTTAGTTGTATACCAATAATTACTGTTGAGTGTGCTACCGTTGCGTCTGCTTTACTTTGTGTCAGTGTTTCATATGGATTATTTCTTGCTACCCTCCTCAGAGTGCCTTTTAATTTAGGAGGTCTAGAGATGGTTCACTGAAGTCTTGTGTTCAATCTAACACAGTAATGTCTGATTTTTAAACTTGTCCTGATGAATGTATAACTGAAATCCTGTTCTTTAAAAAGCTGTAGTAGACACAGGTTGTATATGCACATGTACATGCATGGATAAAAGGGAAGGTGTTCTGCCAATGTTTGTCCTGCTGGACAGGACCTTTTGAAAGTAAGTGAATTTTTTAACAGTTTTATTTTCAAAATGTTACCTCACTAGTATTCAGCAGTAGATACGTCTCTGTACTGCTTCACTTTGCTAAATACAATCACAGTCACGGTAGGCAGTTTAATTTAAAAGACCCTGCGATGAATCTGGTGTCTGTATTCAGAGTTAAGTTCCTAAGTCAAAATTTAGGGTACTTCATTCCCTTTAAAGGCATTCCTTTCACATTGATATCCCACGCCCCTGTTAGCAACAAACTGAAAAAGTGCTTCCCCATGATGAAATGGAAGAATGTAAAGTAGCATTTTAATGCACTCCACCTGTCTTGGAATCAATATTCAGAAATGGGGGGTGTGGGGGTGTGTGGTAGGGAGGTGGATTTAAGGAATTGTGGGAAGATGTATGTTGTAGAGTTTGTTCACTTGCACACAGGGGGTTTTACAATGTCATCTAGTAACGTCTACCTAATAAAGTTTTGAAAAAGAAAACTTGTTTAACTCTTTGTTTAAACAATCGTATGCATGAATGATAGTTGACAAGATCCAAGCAGTCTTGCTTAAATCTGTAATAATTTCTTATGGTTCTCCTATAATGACCTCAGAACCTCTGTGTGTTCACAAACACTTTATTACAGTCACTTTGGTCTTTAGCTGCTTTAACACTAAAAATGAAACCAGAAGTAAAAAGCCAGTTTACTATGATGAATGTTTTAATGGAAAATACTCCCTGACATGTGGTGTCATTATCTCTGGGCTACTGCTTTCACTTCTAAAAGCATCTTAATACGCAACACAAAATTTTACCTTCTCATGAAATGTTGAAATGTTAAAATATTAGCTTAAAATAACCCAATACAAAATGAAAAAATAAGCTGCAATCCAGTTTTCCAGTTGCGTTGTTTAGGACTACTTCCTATAGCTCCACCTCTTTCAAAGACATTTTTTAGAGAAAGAAAGCACTCTGTAGGTATAAACTTGAAATATGTACTCCATTAATAGGACCAGGTACCCTTTCTTTGGAAAGAGGCTGTTCTCAGTTTCAGCACTTTGTGAATTGACCATATTGATGGAATGTTTTGTCTGATGTGTTGGGGATTTTAAACACTGCCTAATTATGAAATTACACATTCATGCACGGGCAGACAAGATAACACACTCACCTACAGTTTGTTTCTGTAGGAAATCAAGCTGAAAAACAACTCCCTGTGGTGAAATACACAGCAAAATATTGAGGCTTGTGCTAGCTGCCTCTGGCAAAGGACAAGCCTTTCAGCCTTCTCCCCAGCCCCCTCCCAAGCAGTCAGGATTTGCAGTCCAATGTCAAGGACATCATGCCAGAGGTTCCTTATCTGCAGGAATTCTAGCATGCAGTCAGCAGCAATGGAAAGATAGTCAGGAGGCCAAAGAAATCGATATTCCTAGAGCTGAAACTGAAGTTAAAGGCTAACTTCTCACTTTCAGTCTTAAACTGTTTGACAAAAGATAGAAAAGCAAACTTTATGGTGTTTCCCTAAATAAATAGGACTAATGTGTTCCACAGAGATTACAGATAAGCATCTAATTTTTAGATGATTCCCTTCAGAAGACTGATGTGCTTTTTGCAAGTACTTGAAATAGCAGGAAATAAAGATGTGCATTTTCTCTAAATCATTAATGCATTTTTGCCTGCTTATAAAAAATTACATGTAACCATTAATCATTTTCAAAAAAAAAAAAAAATTGAATTCCTCATGTATTTGCTTAGCAGTTTGTCTTCAGCAGAAAAATGAGGTACCAGTGTGTTGGAATGTGGGATGTTTGAAATACCAGCTAATGAGTACGGAATTAGAATTAGCAACCATGTGGATAAAGCTGCCATGCTTTGGAAAAGTTGATACGGCTTTTATGAAGGAGTCTTGCCTTACCAGCCACAGAGTGTTATTTGGCAGGTCAGCAAGTCCTAGAAATCTTTGTTGGAATTCCTTGCAATAGCCTCAAATGAAACCAAGTAGGCACAGGCGAAGAAAGAGGATCTCACATGGACCATCTGGACATCAAATGGTCAGAAGATACAGAACGGCTGGGGTAAATAGCTTTTGCTATGAAGAGAGAATGCCAGCTGAATGCTGAAGAGAGCTGTGCTTGGACTTGGCTCTTGAACGTATTTGCAAATGACAGAAAGAAAAAGGTAAGTGATGGCGTAAGAAGCAATGCTGATGATGGAGAGTTAGCCAA